AGAGTGTCAGAATGGAGAGACTGGGAAAATCACTAAGTACAAGAAGTGCTTTGAGCACTGTCCACATCCCTATCCTGGGTACTACCCCTGTTGCTGTGCCTTCTTCCTTATGCTGGGTGCAGGAGATTATTCTGTTGGAATTATTCCACCCTTGTGTGTTGCCTTTAAGAGCTTTTCACTGGGAGGAAGGTTTCTGGACTGGGGTGAATGTCAACCAATCCAGTAGCAGCCAGTTGTTCCCTCTCTCCTGGATCTAGGCTTTGTTGTTGCTGTTTTTTAAGGAGGGCATAGGGCAGCTTTCAGTGGATGGCCACCCTGTAACCCCAGCAGTTGGCCAGAAAAGATGCGGGCTTATACCTGGCTTGCTGTGGCTGCTGCCCTCTTCATTTTGTAATATAAAATCCCCCATTCTATTTTGGTTGTCAGTTCATGGCTATAAACATGATGAACGTATTTTGCACAGATAATTAAGTACCATTTAAAGAAATATGCAGCCACCTATGAAGCCCAAGGTGACTGGCTGTCAGTATTAGAAGGCTGTTTCCAAAAGAGAAAAGACTGCACATTCTTTACTTAGCTAAACAAAAGAATGAAAATATGCATGTTTGCTGAATTAGGCACTGATCCCTGTGGTTTGTTTTATCTCACATTTACAAATATTCAAGACACTCCAACTTGAGAGCTCTGTTTAAGATGCTAATAATCAAATGACTAGGAAATGACTGATTTCCCAGTGTGACAAAATTAATCTCATCTGACAGCAAAGCTGGAAATGATCCACCTGGCCCAATTTAATTTCTTATTGAAACTTACAAAAAACTTTATAATGCATTTTTTAAAATCTTAGAACATTTATTCATCCTACAGCATTTATTTATTTTATTTATTTATTTATTCCATTTATACCCCGCCTATCTGGTCATATTAACCACTCTAGGCGGCTTACAACACATGTAAAAGAAGAATAAAAGCAGCTGATTACTCAGTGTCAAAGAATGACAAGATGGCACCTGCACCAGCCTCAGGAAGGATAACAAGAGGGCCTTGCCCCAGTTGTCTGAGTCTCCACTAGGATTGTGGGTAAGTTAGAAGTGAGTCACTGAAAACAAGCTACAAACTGACCAGTGAGATCTTCAGAAGGCAGTATCAAGACTCGTGTGTGTGTGTGTGTGTGTGTGTGTGTGTGAGAGAGAGAGAGAGAGAGAGAGAGAGAGAGAGAGAGAGAAATCAAAGCAGGCAGTTAACCTCTGAAGTGTCTCTAAGGTTAGTCTCCTTCCTTGCTCTTGTCAAGGATGATACTTATGCATGAAGATATTGTGGGAGGTCAACACGGGCATCAGCACTTGTCATTGTAAGGCACATGTGGGAGCCCACAGGAAGTTGTCCCCAGGAACACCACTCAGGCTGATGTCATTTGCCAATATCCATTTTTTCCTTCCTCTGTCTTTAATTTTTTTACTTTGTGTTGTAACATATTTTTTAGGACAGTGCATACTCTGGGGAACAAAAGTACTAGACAAAAGCACAGCCAGCTACCATTTTCCTATTCTCAGAATGCCTCTGGGCTCTCATACATCAAGACATAGCTGCCTTCCAGAGAAAAGAGCATGGCAAAGATGTGGCAGCCTAGGCTATGTATCAATGTGTACCACATCCTTATTGCTAAAAAAAGTCAGAGAGATGTGTTGTGCAGTATTAGATGTAAGCAAGACACAGAATTCAGAGATTTAAAGTAAAAGGCAGACTTCCCAAAAGGAATACATGAGAACTCTGTTTTTTAGGAAGCAAAAGGTTACTAATCCCCTTAAAATCTTTATAATAGACTTCACAAAATGATAAGAGTGAGGCTTGTGGCGACTGTTCACTAGTGACCTTTCACTCACTGAACTGAGCTATTTCAGTAATCGGCTACCTCATGTGGGATACACCAAATGAGAATATCACAACCTTGTGGACATGGTTGTTTGTGAAAAACAGCCATCTGGTCATCCTTGACATTTAGACAGACACACTGCAGTTGCATAGAACAGAAGAACAGAAAAGGGATTTCTATATGGTTTTTTGTACATGCCAAGGGACATATGGCACATGGCTAAATGCATTACACTTTAAACTACTGTAATTGATAGAGACAAAGGGAATGTGATTGATAGAGACAAGGGAAATGCCAGTTTTCCAGTACTAGACATTGCAGCTGAAGGGTTAGGGACCCCAAATTCACCATAATGGAAGCATACTTCGTCATATAGAGCCCAGGAGAAAAAATTCAGATGGTACCCATTTTCATGTATATACTTTGACTGCAGAAATCTCAGAGCATCTTGTATCCTAAGCAGTAACATGTTTTATTTAGCATAAGCTTTCTAGTATTGTAGCCCACTTTTGCAGATGCATGGACTACAACCTCAGCAGACAACATGATTACACAAACTGTTGGTCTACTCTGGCCACACTTCTAGCATGTAAAGAAGTAGGCTACAGTTGGTGGTGTAGTGACACATTTAGAAGTCTAGGGTTCATCATTACAGTTTCCATGGCCATAAACCACCACAAAGAGACTCTGAAAAATGTTGTTAGCTGGAGCAGCCCATGTCAACAATTAAGGGGCTAATCTTTTGCTAAATTAATAGCTCTTAATTGCCAATCAAGACCAAATGAGCCTCCAAAATTTTTCATTACCATAGGAATATCACATAACAATAATCTCTTTCTGGCAAAACCCCTTGGTCTCCCAGCTATTAGGAAAAGTGCAACTCAGGTCAGGGGCAGAAAAGAAACCAAAGGAAGTGTGGATGGCACATAACATCATAGGGCCTGCAGCACAAAAATCACCACGGCTTTAACTCTGCAAGCCCTGGCTCCATGAGACCACTAGCTACATTCCCCCCAAAGCTTATACAAATTCAAATTTATTAGCTCTTGAGGCACAAAGCTGTTCAGTATTTTTTGCACAATGGTTGAGGGGGAGAGGAACTGCACAATTACCATATGGGAAAAAAAAATCATAACTGAGAAAGACCCTAAATACAGTGTAGCTGATATCTCTGCTAGAGTATACCACCAAATTTCAGTTAAAGATTACTTTGTTTATACTGTACATATCTGTCAAAGTTGCTAATGAGAGCTTGCGGGGGAACAAAGAAGACTTCCAGCTGTGATATAGCAAAAGGTCAAGACATTTCAGAGAAGCAAATGTTGTCTTGCATCTTTACCGATGGGAACTCTTTTGTCTCATAGCCTATGACCCAGACATAATCTACCTCCTATTTTGGAATTTTTTTTAAAAAAAACTGGGAATTCTTAAAATAGAATCTTAGAGAACATTAAAAGCAGTGACTTCTGACCCGTTCCACCCTTTAAATCACCCTGATCTCATTTCCCCAAAGCACCTCTTTGTGGGAAATTTTATTTCTCTTTTGCCACCAAATATATTAGAAGAAAGGCTTAAATGTCATAATATGAATAGCTGCTGACATTACTTGACAGACCCACTGGAGCACTAGAGACCTAACACCAGAGTTTGGAAAAATCTACAATTAAACACTACCATGCACAGAATCTGTAATCCACCGCGGATTTTTGGCCAATGTCTTCCTGACAACACCATGGATGTTGAATGGATGGTGGATACAAGGGTTGTCTTGGGGGGGGATGAAGGACCATTTCAAATGTTGTTGGATGGGGCCCAGAGGGCTGGAGTACGATGAGGAAATTGGAGAAATCTGGAGGGCTCGCTTGTGGAAATGGACATGCTATTTTACTCCTGCAAGGCATCGCTGGGTTCAAGCCATTGTATTTGCACTGGGATCAAATTCCTTTACAAAAAAAACCCCATCAACTCTATGCTAGGAACTGCACATGATTCAAAGTAAACAGACCCTTCACAAAAGTTGGAAACAATGCATTAGATTCTAAAGCTTTGGCATAACACATATTTAAAAATTATATGTTAAATTGTACGTTCAATGCTCCCCAGCACCACAGACATTCTCTCTTCAAGAGTGACACTGTGCCTTCCTCCTCCTGGTTGCAGCCTCAGATCAATCAGGAGCAGGTAAGACAAGATTGGGAGAGAGGATGGCCTGGAAAATTACTTTTTGAAAGTAATTTGTTGCACTACTTGTTACCATCTCAATAGGAAACTCATTACCAATCACCTGGGTTTCCAAAGCAACTTGTAGTGTTCTTACACTTCCTGTTGTTTTACTTCTTAATAAAAAAGGTGAGTGTTCTGTACGGTTTCTAACTTGAAAAGAAGGCTCCTAGGGTACTCTAACTAGTAGACATCCTTCCTTTTTCTCCTTTGACAACTCCAAGGGCCAAGCAAATGCAGGAAGCAGCCAGCCAGAACCTTCTGGGATGCCCAGAGCATTTCATCAACAGGGCATAGACTTGGTGACCAAATAGATTTTATTTGTTCAGTTTGGAGTAGCTTGGTCCTTGGGATCATCCTGCCAAGTGTCAGGGAGAGCTCACCAGGCATGTAAAACATATGGTTAAAAACTGACATCGGTACACTGTCCTGTGTATTTGTTTGCTACATACCCTTTATCTTGGCAAATATAAGTCAATGAAAACATTCATTTGTCATTAACAAGTCTGAATGTTTTAGTGGTGATACAACCGTACAAAAACTGTACTAAGAATACAAATTAGACAGTATTACAGCATGTCAAAACCCTGAGAGAAAGTGGTTTTGGTTAAAGTTTTAAAAATAGCTGACCCATTCCACAAGAGAAACAGGGCAAATCATCTCTAAAAGGGAAAAATTAGGATATAACTGCACAGCTACTTAATGTTATGAAGTACAATTGGGCATCGTCCCCAACCCTGGAGATGAATTCAAGAGCAGGTTTTGCACTCAGACTCTACCATTGCAGCAAATCATTCCTAGCATAATTCCTTGAAATGCCAAATCTATGAAACAAACTCTCATGTTACTGCACATCTTCCATTAAGAGCAGCTGCCAGTGTCTATGCAGAAAAGATATTGTACTCACCGTCATCTGGTGAATTTGAAACATTTCAGCTCCAGTACTAGAGAGACGATTTGGAAATGAAATATTAACAAAAGATCCAGGGAGAGTGCTGGGGCCAGCATTGTAGACCTTAAAAATAAGATGTAAAAACAAATGAGCACATACTGATTCAAAAGTGTTAACATACAAGTTATGGCTGACCTTTATTAATTCTAACTGGCATAAAAACAGCACCAAAAACCATTAAAATGTCTTCCTAATAATTCCTAAGAGAGCCATGAACTTTGCCTACAACATTAAAATGGGGAGGGGGCATGTTTCACACCATTAAATTGAATGAAGGGCTTCGTAAGACAGATTAATGAGTTCATACGCCTTACAACTAAAGGTCACCACATGGCTGAACTTGCCCGTAGAGCATCTCCTGATGTTGGCCCCATGAGATAACACAAAATCTTTCATCTTGAGCTACAATTCAGTCCTTAAACTTGCCTTTAAAAATGAAATTGATATATAGGATAAGTACAGAAAAGTAAGCATTTGTGTTTAGGCAAATAGCTTTAACCTTTCCACAGTTAGTTTAAAAACCTTTTAGACAAGGGAAATGGCAGCAAGACAGTGGTGCAGCTAGGCAATCTTACTACAAAGACTGTATTTAATAGTTTTAATGGGGCTTGGTTCTTTGGCTGGCAATGTATCTTACTTGGCTTTCTGAAAAATGTGGGAAGCCAGGCCTGGTGAGTTTAAGGGCTCTCCTGCTTATATTGCTGAGTGGAAGTCTAGACTTAACTAGACTCAATAGTCCAGCTCTGATGATGGAGCTGGTTCACCATATGGCTGTACACTAGAACTTCCTTTTTCAGAAAATATCAAGATCATCAATCTGATTGGGATCTCTCTCTATAGAATAATTAGCCTAACAGTTAATCCAACCCTGTATACATCTACATAAATGCACAAGCCTAAACATTTACATATTGAAAAAAAGCCACCTCACTCAGACATGACCATCAATGTTTAGAATTTAGTCTTTGCATACACAGTGGTCTATACATGGTGCTGTTCAGAATCCAGCTAACTCTAATATCCAAACATCTAGACCTCATTCTCCAAACACTGTTCATGTTTTGAGGAATGTATGAATGATAAAGAGAAGTGGTGCACAGTTCCAAACCCTTGTGAAGTCCTAGAGGCACATAAAAGGGGGGAAAGAACTACAATGAAATTCAAGTGTTGCATGAAATGCAAGGTTAGTAAAACAAATTAGAAAACAAATGTTCTGGTAATTGTGTAGTGAGGAGAAATGAGACAATAAACAAGGGGGATTTGGATCTCCATGATAAAGGAAATAATAGGCTCATTTAAAAAAATAGTAACTCTTAGTTTTTGGTTTTCCTGTATGTTTTTTTTAAAACTTGAAATATTTTTACAGATTGCTTTATTTCTATCTAAGGATAAGAATTCTTTTCCACTAAGTAGGTCTAACATTTGAGCACATACTGATGCTTTTTTTAAAAAAAAGAAAAGAAAAGAAAAGAAAAAGAAAAAGAAAAACACCAAAGCATGTCAAAGACAAAAAGAAAGTTTATTCAATCTACTACTTTGATGGAAAAAATCTGGTACTGAAAACAATTTTCCCCCCAGCATTCATGTGAACTATATGTGTCCATGCTTGCAACAGTGATCTACAGGAAAGGATGTGTCTAAAAGATCTGTGTATTGAGTTAAGGGATAAAGGAGATTAGGAATGAGTCAATGGGATCTGGGTGAAAAGAATGACTTCCATATATGTCGTTTATCAGTGCTGAAGCATGCCCCTTTTCTATTTCAAAAATGTTGGAGGGACTATTGTGGAAGAACATGAAAGCATTTAACTATTCATGGAGCATGGCCCTTGCTCTGGATAAGATTTATTTTGTAACACAGAATGTACTACACATTTTACTTCATCTCCAACTGCCTAGAATCAAACCCTAAGAAGTACTAACCATGAAAAATGACAGATGAAGAGAACAGAAGTGACAGATAAATTAGGGGGAAGGTGCAATTTATACATTAATGCAGGCATGGGTAATGGTGTTTCTCAATTTTTCTAAAAATATAAATCTATGCTAGCCTGGTGGGAGCTTTAGGCCAAACACAGCTGGAATGCCACAGTTCCCCATAGTTAAAAATTTTTTTCGGGAAGTACTGTACCCTGAATTGCAACTTTCAATATGAATACTGAAATGGGCACACATTTTGTTCATTTTTAAACCAGATATGCTTTCCTTTAAAAAAAAAATTAAACCATCAAAATATTTAACTTGTTTGTTGTTTATTGCCTCTTCAGTCCATTATTCCATTGTTCAAAGAAACATGCCCTCATTAAATTCTAAACTATGAATACAGAATCACAGAGCTGAATCTGACTTCTCATTTGAAATTCACATAGAACTGACTTATCCTTCTACATCCTACCTTTCACCTATGTCTGGGGTTCACGCCTTTCCTTAGAAATGAACCCCACTCCACCCAAATAATTTTAGTTAAAAAATAAGAGAGCATAGATACTGCTAAGGAAGTTGACATGATCCATGAGTGAGTACATTAAAATATAGCAGTTAGTCACTAATGTGCCACAACATTTTTGTCTCCTGGTTTTTGTTTTTGCTTTTGTCTACCAATCAAAGCCTCTAGTTTCCCTGCTCAACCTTGGAAACTCACTGGGATGTAGGGTGGCCACACTAAAAAGAAAGACAAGCATCACTAAAAAAGGAGAGCAGGCTTCAAAATAAAGGATTGTCCTCACTAAAGGAGGACATATGGCCACCTTATGCTCAAATCTTTTTTTAAATGAACGAAACTTAAAGGTAATAACTGCTTTAGACCAAGCTTTTACTGCCAAGAAAGAATGTACATCGTTTATAAGTTGAATATAGCAAGATAGGGCTCAGAACTCTGTCTAAAGTTTTTTTCATAATTGTCTAGAATTTTCAAAATATGTAATGTGACCCATATACAAGGACCCACACTGTCAATTACTACACTCTTTGCTCTGCTGCTTCAAAGATGGTGGCAGTCATTATAACTGGCTGGTAGCACAAGACTACTCCAGGCCATGTGACCAGGCCAGTCTACAAAATCTAAGATATCTCCCACCACATAAAGCAGCTTATCAGCAGCCAATAAAGGTTTGGCTGCCTCTCTACCCTAGTCTTCCTTGGCCTACAAAATTAACAAGTTGCTGCTCTCATTCCAGGTCACAGGACTTGAGTGGCAGTCAGGAATGCAAGCAGCAACTCATTAATTAGCAGCAACTCATTACAACATTTAACAGAATTGTACTGATGCAAATTTAAATCTGATGTAAGATATTGGCCCATATCTTTCCTCTAAGGGGCTCAAGGTTTTTTCTCCCCCTTTTCCACAAATATACACAGCCCTGTGATGCACATTAAGCTGAATGAGTATAACTTACCTAAGGCTATCCATGACTCAGTGGATATTTAAAAGTGGCACTCCCCAGTCTGCACCAGAACTCTAACTACTGCTTCTCAGTAGGCCTCTGGTTCATCCTGGTAGAAGTGTACTGAATACATTGCCATAATGAAAGCATGAACTGAAGTTTAGTAGGCCACTTATTTCATTTTTGCATTTTTCTACTAAACTGAATTGTGTGCTCAAAAATAATACTGTCTTGCACCTTGAAATGGTTATAGGATATGGAGCTTGGAAAACTTTGGAAGGACCACTTAACTTGTGGCAAAAGTAGTACTGAGCTAGCATCACTGAAAAGAAGCCTTGTGGTTGGAAAATTTAATGTAGCCTTAATGTTAATCCTAAGAACCATACAATTTATTTCACACTCAAAAGGAAACTTTGGATTTATATTTCTTGAAAAAATGTCTTCTCCTTATTCTACATAGCTAGTTGCTTCAGAATCAAATGGAATTTTTCAGAACAGTTTGTAATGTGGCATGGACTGCTGAGTAGGGAACAGGGCTCGAAAGAAGGAAGGAAGGAAGGAAGGAAGGAAGGAAGGAAGGAAGGAAGGAAGGAAGGAAGGAAGGAAGGAAGGAAGGAAGGAAGAGGCAAAACGTCTTTGGATCCCAATCCACATTTGTAAATTGTCTGGCACTGCATCGTACCATTATAAATAGAAACACCAACTGAACAATGTAGCAATCCAGAGTGCAGCACAGTAACTCAACCCCATAGGTGCAAATCAATACACAGAAGCAATGATGTATTTTCTTGTCCTTCACAGTTACATATGTTTTAATGCACAGTCACATGTACACACAAATCCCAAAGAGTTTATTAGGAATTTCTCTCAGGTAGATGTGTCTACAATTGTAATCTTCGACCTAAATCCTGTTTAATGAAGGCAGACCGAAAGCCCCCACTGGTTTAGTAACAAAGAAAATGTGCAACTGCCTGTGTCAATGCGTGTTGTGCTAGAAAAAGGTCACAACTGGAAATACAGGCTTTAGAGTTTAGCATCTTTATCCACAGGGTGATAAAGACATGCAGAATTCAGGTTTCCTTAGAACCAAGAACACACACATCCCACCCAAAATAAAATGTACTAGCACAGATGTATCACCTTTACCTGAAAGGTGAAGTTTAGGTCCTGAAAATGACACTCAAAATCTTCGAGCTGAATAAACTGAGATGCTGGTACAGACTCACCATATATAAAGGAACTGGGAGACACCATCCTGAATGGGGGAGAGAAGAAATATACAATCAGAATGCCGAGAGAATGAAGCATACATTCCTTTGTTTCCATTGCTCAGATAAGTTTCATTTGTACAACCACGAAAACAGCCTATTTTTAAGTGACTTTATCATACAAGAAAATTATGAACTGAGTTATGACTTTGAAATTCAAAGAAAGTCATTTGCCAGATCTCCTTATGAGCGGCAATATTCCTAAAAATTTGAACCCAACATTTGGTAGATTATGATGTCATAAGTAATGCCTAGTATTTCTGTGTTCAGGAAAGCTATAAACACCCCACACACATACATTCACAAAAATCCTTTCATCATGTCCTAATTTCATGCTCTGGGAAACTAATCAAGAGGAAAGAAACATTCTTCTCCCAGCTTTACTTGTAAACAAGGGGGGATATTTTTTCCTAGTGGGGAAAATATTTTAAAAACTCTTTAATTCACATGATAATTTGATGAGCAGTTAGTTCCTTACCCAGTGATGGATGAGTCTACTTCATGCATCAGAGAAACAGAGAGAGTGAGCGAGTTGTCATGGAGGTTGTGGTCTAAGTTTCCACTGTTTCAAACAAGAAAATTAAGTTTGTTACACAAATTGCCTATTTGGTTGTTATATATATGACCTTTCTTTGTCTAATGTAATTTCTTGAATTTAGGTTTAGCATGAATATTTCCCCCCATAGTTACATCTTTCAAAGCTGTCTTTGTACATAAGAATTTATTACATTATGGTCAAGATTTTACAGCAAAGGCTTTTAGCATATATGAAGCAAGACATGCAGGATGTTAAGTTAAATTAATAAAAGAGGCACAAGAGATCATACTGCAAATTATCCATGCTCCAGTTGTTTACTGGATCGTACCAAAGAATTTCAGAAGTCAGTTGTTCTTTGCAGATTACTGCAACAATCTAACTGTGTGGACTATAGAAAGCTTTAAAAAATGGGTGTTTTGTTAAGCTGGATAGTGTAGAATAGATGCACAATCCATAGCCTGGACAACAACCTACTATTAGGACAGAGTATGGAAACACAGAATGGTTTCCAATAGGCAAAGGTGTCAGACAAAAGTAAATTTAATCTTCCTTTCTGTTCAATTTATATGCAGAACATATCATATAGAAAACTGGATTAAATGATATGTGGGAGAAGTGAAAATTGGAAAGAGATCAATAATTTAAGATATGCAGACAACACCTGAAAATAGCAACTGGCAGAAAATAAGAATGACTCGAGTGAACTACTAATGCATGTGCTAAAGAAGAAAGTCCAAAGCAAGATTACAATTCAACATTAAGAAGAAACAAAGATCACGACTATAAAAGAATTACACAAATTCAACATCAGCAGTTTTTTCTCTCCTTTTCTAATTTCTAATTCCCGTCATAGTTGCTGCAGCATTCCCTTAGAAGCACAGTTTAGGTAATTCCTTTGTGTGGATCACTATAAAAAGGAATGGAGTCAACTGTCTGATATGATATGCTGACTTATGGTACGGATGAGTCACTTAGAAGGCTGCAAGATATTCTGCTACACACCAGGTATTCCTAAGGAGTTAACTTTTGTCCCTGTTGATTAACAGGGCAACTGCTGATGGTCTCCTCTCATCTACTTCCAACTGTTCTATATACTAGCTTTCCTTCTAATTTTTTTAATGAGATATTAAGAACTGTTACAGTATGTGTGACTGTGGGAGATGCAAAAATGGATCCCTTCATGCATCTACTATCACATCTAACATCATTTTTAAAAAAGCTAACAAAAAACAAAAACAAAGGCAACAGTCTCTGCTTCAGAAGTGGTGGGCCAAAGAGCTAAAGTTCATGAAGCTGAGCAGTGATCATTCCCATGTGAGTGTAACTATTTCCTGCAGCACAGATGGCGGTTGCTACTTAATGACTTAAAAGTATGGGAAGTGTGCACTGTGTATTATATTTTTCAACACTCTTTTTATCAAATCCCTCTATACCCATCATGAAGAATCTACAGCTCAGTGGAGAATTGGCCTAAACATGCCCCTAACAGATTTCAGAGACCCTTGGAAGTGCTCAAATAATCAGCTCATCTCCCTCATGAGGACTCTCAGACTATTCGTATCAGTTCTGCAAATGTCAGTATACAAACCATCAATACTTTTGCTTTTGGCTTGAGTGCAACTGCTTTAATTAAAGCACTTGGACACTAGGATTTTGTAGTCATGATTGAAAAGCACAACTGTGTTAAACATAGGGCAAAAGAGCACGGAAGGGGCAAATTTATCTGAATGTTTTCTGCATCAGAGGTTCCCAACCTTAGGTACCCAGACTCAATGAAAGCAATGGGAAGTTAACTGTGATGAAAATAAGTCCCACTGATTTTGCTGGCACTAGTTCAAGAATAACTCAGTCTAGATCCTCGGACTTAATATGAATTATGGGTGAAACAAGAGGAGGCAAGGTCAAGATCACCCATCACTTGCAGTGAAAAGCAAAGCACCACCTCCACTGCAAGTTCTAATGCTGGAGGCAGAGGGGGGCGGGAAAAGGAAACCAAACAAACCTCTAAAGAAACAATACACATTCTTGGGCAAAACACATAGGGTTTGGTTTGTTTGTTTGTTTAGGGTTTTTGTTTGTTTTTGTTTTTTGTTTGATAACAAAAAATGCAGGGCCTTTTTAGCAACACTTTTGTGTAAGAACGAAAAATATTGCAGCAGTTGACCATTTTTTCAGTAAGATGTTTCAGTATTTCAAGGCATCCATTTTGCTGTAGATGAGAAGATTTGTGAGCACTTATACCCATCATTAGCATGCGCCAGGTCAGAGAGAGCCCTGCAGCCTGCCATAATAAAACATAAAGACTGAAAAAGGAATGAACACTACCTCTGTGCTGTGACAAGGAATGAAAGAGTGTCTTCTTCTCCTGACAAATGGCTGGTATCAAAGATTATACTAAACTCATACTAGGATAAAAAGAAAATAGAATTTAGTGCCCCAATTTGAACCAGAACAATAATTTTGTTCGCTGTTTTTGACAGCTATGACCCACATTTGAATTCGAATTTTTCTAAAACATGATATTTAAACTAACTCACCATATCCCAGAATTGAAATGTTTAACAAACTTTGGCAGATGGTGAATCACATAATACATATTTTTGTACACACGCATAACCCTGGCACAACAATGGACCTTCTAGTTTGTAAAATAAGGCACAGGGGTTCAAAGCTGGATGAGGTCCAGACAGCTAAACAGGTGATCTAAGTCCATCTCCATTCAGCTGACAAAGTGGCCTACAGTCCATGAAAGTTTATGCTCTGCTTGTGATTCCTCAAATGAATCTGGCAGCCATGGCTGTACATATATTTCTTCTGTCTGATAACCAGTAACAACATTTCAGAGGTAAAAATAGGAAGGTCAGATTAACCGGATGATTGGTCAAAAATGCTATTTATCTAATATGCTGAGATCAATAGTTGTGAATACATCAGGGACATTGTGCTTCACAACAGATTTAAACCTCTGATTGCTCCACAAGATAAATCTCCACAAGATAATTTTTATCTTTGCTGACTTACAAAGAATTCTGAGATTATTCATCAATCTTATTACATTATATAGGGTTAGGTTAAATCATACAGCTTGAAGATCACCTTGCAGATTATCTAGCTCACATGGAGGATTGCCAAGCCAGGTTCCATCCACTTTATGTTTATGAACCTCTTGAATCTCATTTTGTTAGTTTGGGCCCAGTGTTTCAGCTTGACTAGATTCTTTTGAATCTTGAACTATTATTAAATGGTACTGGTTCTCCTTCCTAGATTTGCGATAGTTCGTATGTCACATGAACTTTTATTGGGGGCTGTCTTAGGCTGGTTCCCCATGGAATGAAGCTTTGAAATAGAGTTTGCAACATCATCTAATGGAACAGCATACTTCCATTGGGGTGTATATGACAAAAACAGAGAGAGTGAGATTTATTTTTCCTCTCTCTGTCTCTCTCTCTCTCTCTCTCTCTCTCTCTCTCTCTCTGTGTGTGTGTGTGTGTGTGTGTGTGTGAACTTTATACATTTTTCATAGTGAAACAAAATATAACATACAGTGGGGGACAAGCAAGGACAAAAATGGTGGACAGTTGTTTCCCAAATTATTCACCAAATCAATTTCTGACAGCTGAAAAAAGAATTCCTATTTGCATTCCCAGTTAAATTCCATAAAGCCCCCCTCACCCATCATGAACAGCCATCGAAGTAGTTTGTTCAAAGAAGAGTGATCAGCGACACCTTACAAAAAAAGCAGAGAGATAACCACAGTCTCTCTGTGGTCAAAGTGTGAATTCACAGTGAATTTGCAAAGTATTTGGTGACCCACAAGTTCTCCTGAGACACAGGGAAGTGCACAGCTACTACATGTCATAATTCATTACCTTTGACTTTGATCTCATGAAGGGAAAGCCCACACTGCACTTAAGGAAATCTGAGTCTGGTTCCAGCAACTCACATGCAATGCCCATCTCTTCCTGAGGGAGGGAAAGGAGACAATATTTTAGAAGATGATGCTTCAGCGCGCCAAGCTTGGTGGGGAAAAGTAAAACATTGGGGAGATCCATACAGTGTTACCTACACACACTTTGGCTGCAATTATTACACAGCCTCCCATTTTCAAAACATCTATATCTCTTCACATTTTAAGTGGTTTTAGAAAATTCATCCATATAATTTTGTCAAGGCCCACCAACTAGAATGAATACCAATCATCTTCCTGTGGTTTCTCCAGGGATGTAGTGGTAGGATGTTTTATTTATTTTGGTCTAAAAAACCACAGCTCTCCACAGCCAATTTTTTAAAACTAAGTTTTCAGTAGTTTGACACACATGTGCCCACACAGAAACAGAGTGCACAATCTAAGAGAAGTTACTGCTATTTCTCACGTCATTGCTGTTGTTCCAATCAGTACTACCAGATTCTGCCCAAGAGATACAGAAATCAAAATACAGTACAGACCTTGCAGAACTACCATAGGTTGATAAGAGGAAAGGTGAATAGTTCAGTGGTAACGCACACACTTTGCATAAAGTTTGTCTCACATCCAAGCTCTGATATCTCTAAATTTAAAATCAGTCAGTTAAAACATATGGGAAAGATCTCTGCTTTGAGATTAGGCAAAGATCATCAAGCAGAGTACACAATGCACAGTTAGATGGGCAATCTGTCTGATAAAAGTCTAAAGCAACTTTCTTTGATCCTGCATCACTGAACAACTTCATACACAAAATTTCTGAGGGTTTATTTAAATGGATCAACAGCATTGTATTACTACAAATTGAACTCAACCCAACATCTTTATGCTTTTTTTCAAAGTGATATGTCATGTTGAATTGGAACTTTTGGAATAAAAGAAAAGAAAAGTGGAAAAGGGGTTTAAAGGCACTGGAAACAGAACAAAGAAACCCATGACATAAATGTTTTCAAAGTTCCAAAAAGTATCAGTTTTCTTCCTCAGGTTAGAATGGTGAAAATGTGTGCACTGTGGAGATGGGAACTTCTGAATTGCTTCCAGAGTGCACAACTTCATCAGTCTGCCTTGATTTAAAGCAGGGGTGTCCAACCTTTCACCTTCCCTGGGCCACATTAGAAGATGAAAATTTGGTTTGGGCCACACATAAATTTGGTTTGGGCCGCATGGAGGGGCAGCCCTAGCCATCCTCTGCAGCCCCGCTCCAAGCACGCTTACTGGCAGCTGCGATCTCAGACAGCAGAGGCTGGCAGCTTCGACTCCGGCGGCTTTATGGGGCCGCGAGGGGGTCCACCTATTGATGCAGTCACACAGCACCCTCTCCCCTCCCCTCCCACCTCCTCCTTCCCTCTCCCCCCCCCCCCCCTTCTTCCACCCGCCCACCCCCAC